AAATCTTTATATTCTATTATTATATCTTCTTAATATATCATATTATTTTTTATATATCGTGTATTTATATATCATTGCATATCAATGGACAAATATTTTAACAGTCATAATTTTTCTTTAACTACATTCAAAATTTGATATGTACATGAATTGATTATATGTATTTTACATTGTGCAAATAATATATAGTATATAGAGGTAAATCTATTTGGATATTATATAATATTAAACATTGGATTTTCATTTATTGCGTATCATATCACAATTGGGTAATATTGCATATTGTGTATTATCATTACGTGCATCCTAATACGATATTTGATATGCAACGATGTAATAATACGCTTTCACATTAGTATATGTTTCAGTGATACAATTTAAAAATAATATCCAGCTTATGTCCAATTTCGAGTGTAAGAAAATTATATCGTCTCTTTTGATACAAATAAATCTTACACTATATCATTATATAAAGATGAATAATAATAAATTTGTAATAATATGATATGCATAAAAAAAAATAAGAGATAAATTTAATAATGATACGAAGACATGCAAATAATTTAGATTGACGCGATAAATGCAACTTTATAGTATAATTAAAAATTAATGTATTTTAAGCAAAACTTTTTCAATTAAATTCATTTCGATATTATTCAATACATTTTCAATACTACATCTCAAATGGATATTTTGACTTACATTATTTTGAAATTATTTTTTATAATTATGTAAAAAATAATTTACTTTTGAAATAAAAAATTAATAAATATTTTATAAAGTACTTTGAAATAAACTAATATATTTGTGATTAAATGATTTATTTCATGAAATAAATTAGTTTTTTCTTATTTAATTTTGAATGAAAATAATTAATTTCTTTAATATTTATATTATTAATGTTTGTTATTGACATATTTGCTACAATTTTTACTATTGTATATTATTATTAATATAATAATTTATAATTTAATATTATTTTTTAATTAAAAATTTGTTTCGATTAAAAAAATAAAACGTTATTTCCTCAAATAATTTTTCTTCAAATTATTATTTACTTGACCAAATAAAGAATATAATATGATTTTAGATATTAGTGAACATTATTTGAAATATGTTTCGTTCAAATCTGTTTCCATTGATAAAAGATCTTATTAATTTAAAAATATATAAAAATTATAATTAATTATTACTTTTTAAAGAACACTTTGTATGGTAACAAAAATCATTCGAAAAAAAATTAAACAAAATTAAAAAAAAATAATTAAAGAAAATTTGCCCTACTTACAGAATAGAATAAAGATTATTCGATATTTGCAGTGGGTCTAGAAGAGATCTCGGCTCGATTAAATTTAATGGTTAAGGCGGAACTAGCCGAACTGGTTTCCGGCGCACCCATGAACCCTGGCGATCCCGAAACAAGGTGCCAATATCTCGAGAAACTTCTAGGTAAGTTGAATCTTTTAAACTGATATATTTGGCACTAGTTTCAAATATTATTTTATGCGTTAAATGTTTCATAAAATAATATTTTTTCTTATTGAAAAATAAAAATAAAAAAAACAAAAATTAATTTTTTTTTATATTGAATATAATATCTTATAAGAATGATATGTTATTAATTGTCTTGAAATAAATTAAATAAAAAAACAACGTTCGATCTGTAGAAAATATATAAGTATATAAATTATATAAAATGAAAATATATAAACATGCTTAACTTTGTTGCAGAAGAATCGATAAAATTAATTTAAGATTAATTTTGTTATAATTTTTATTGATTTGTTTGCCAAAAAATAATTAATTTCACAATTTGAAAAAAAAATTTTTAGTAACGAAAAATAACAAATATTATTAATAAGAATTTTTATAATTTTTTAAAAAAATATATTTCATCTTTGATGAAATTTTCAATGTATCTAAATTAAATGGAAACCAAATTATATTTTTAAAATATTTTGAAAAAAAGAAAAAATATTTTTAAAAATATTTAATTTAATATAATAAATTAATACGTTTTAACAAATCATAGTGCACAATTTATTATTATTTATCTAAATTATTTTAGATGGCTATTAAATAATAATAAAGTAATGATGATTTCTATAAATCAATGATAAAATAATATAAATAATGATTATCAGAAATAACATTTATATGAATAAATACCATAAACAATAATATGCATAAGTTACATAAATTTATTTGTAAAATCAGATTCTACATAAAAATAAAATAACATAAAATCTATTGTAAAAATAATTATTTATTTTATTTTTTTGTGAAAATCATAATTTAATTATCGTTGCAAGAAATTTGTATATTATAATTTATAATTGTTATATTATATAATAATAAAATAAATTTGATTGATATACTATTATATAAAATATTATACATATATACTTATATACATATATACTACATATTATTGTATAGCAATAAAGTTTGAAGGAATTATTAATTCTTTTTCGAATAAAAAGAATTTACATTATTTTTCTTAATATTTAAAATTTAATAAGATATAAGAGTTTAAAATTTTTTTCAAGAATTTCTTTAGAATTTGAAAAATATAAGTAGAAAAGGAAAAATAATATGAACAAATTTATAAAAATAATTTAACAATAAATCTATTTTAAATATTTGAAATAAATATTAAAATTTGATTATTATGTTGAAACAATTACAAATTGATTTTTAGAAATAGAATGCAAAAAAAGAAAAACGATACAAAATAAACAATGCGATAAATAGATAAAAACGGTAAATATACAAATCGAAAAATTTAAATATCACGTATTTTTGTTTGCAGATCGAAGAAGAGAGACTCCTGTGATGGTCGATTGGCCGGAAGTCAGCGGAAACGTTTATATAGAAGATGGAGAGCCTTCGAAAGGCAAGAAACTGCAAATCGCTAGGATTCATCGAAATATCGAGACGATTTTAAATCAGAAAAAAAATTTCAGCGATTCATAGTAACATAAGTGAAAAGAGTGTGAAAAAGGCAATTTTTTTTTTTTACGGAATGAAAATTTAAATCGACAATCATTTTGTATTTATATATATTCGTATTTTGCGATTCGTTATTAAACGCGGTACGTGGTTAGAAGATAAAAACGCCGAAAGGTACAAAATCATATTCGATGATTGTAAACAACAATTTGTATTATTTTTTAATAATTTAATAATTATATTATATCTTTTTATATAATATTTTTTCTTCGTTATTTAAGTAGATTTACGATTAAAAGAGGAGAAAGAAATCCTTGCTCGAAGTCTCGAAGCTCGAACGTGATCGAGCTACGATCGACTTGGCCCGTTCGATTATTTATTTCTTCTTATAAGCTTTAAAAGCTGCCATCTTTGTAATATAACTGTGCGATGTATGTATCGAAAGACGAAATAAAATGGCATGAACAGTGGATCTTGGCATTTCACGTATGTTACTTACACACATTTTCTCGTATGCATACAATGAAAACTACAAATAGATTTGTTTAAGTTAAGCTAAATTTAATTGCTTTAAAATTACAGATACGATTTATATTAAAATAATTAACGTTATAATCGAAATCTGTATGGATCGCATTTTGAATCTGTCAGAAAAATATTTTCTAGAAAAAGATTGTTTTTCTTTTCTCACATACGCGTACTTACACTCGATTATTATTTTTCCTCTGTCCTTCTTATTATTTAAATCAACACTCAAACAATTTATTAAGTTTTGGATTAACAATGATGAAAATTCTTTTTTTGTTCCGTTCTTTTTTTCTTCATTTTTCATTTATAATTGAAGTATAATGAAGTATGTCTTGTTCTATTAAAAAATATATATATATGCAATGTATGCATCTATAAGAAAAATTATAAAATGTAGAATTTTTTATTTATAATTTAAAAAAAGAGAATAAATAGAGAATAAATAGAGAATAAAAAGTAATTTATATGACAATTTATGGGATCAAATTTAGTAATGTCGATAAATAGTCGATAAAATAGAAAACTTCATTTTTCCAAATTAGTATAAATATACATTTTTAGAGTAGACAAAAAAATTTAATTAAATTTTATATACCTACTTGTTATATGAAACAATTGGCAATAATTAAATGATGTATATATACATATATACATACATATATACATTATAGAAGTTATTAATTTTTTCTTATAACACATTAAAAAATATTGACATTTAAATAAAAAGATATATAATTGTTGCAATTATTTATTTTATATGTTTTATCGAAAGTAAAAATTTTGAAAACAGCTTTATTATGCTATATCACGCTGTATGACAATATGTATTTAACACCATTTGTAAGATAATTCATATGGAAATATAACGATGATATTATCTTTAGCTACTTTAATGATAGAAGTTTTAGTCGAAAACTATTCTAATTTATGATATATGTTTCTAAAATTTAAGATCTCTTTTTCAATGATCTTTGTTTTTAAATAACTTTTTTCAATTTGAAAATATCATCAAATATATCGATATCAACAACAATTATGGAAATTGATGATTTGTTTACTTTCGAAAGACGGTTTTAACTGATTTTCATTGCAATCTTAATCGGATTTTAATGAATTGTTTTATTAATAAAAAAACTATTTTAATGAACGTCGATACTATTTTAGAAATTTTTATATGATAAATTCTTGCACATTGCACTATCTATTCGAATTGGTGAAATATCGAATAGGAACGTATCCCTTAAAATATCATCATCTCAAGATTAAATCGATATATCTTGAAATTATTTTCTCGTCGATAAATATTGGCAGCTTTCGATTCAGTACTTTCGATGCCTGCTCCCTTCGATCGAGAATTTCAATTTTTCAAATTTCGATTTAAATTCTGATAAATAATTTTATTTTAAATATAGTCTCGAAATTTAATTTAAATTCGTGTTAAAATAAAATCGATTTTCTTTTTTATTGAAATTCTTGTAAATTCTCGATTATCAATTGGTCCTTTTTTATCTTTCGTCGTACGGCAGATTGTTCTAATGATTAAAGATTCAGAGGACATAAAATACCCAATAGATGGCGTTGAACAGCATAAAACTAACTGGAAATATAATCCTTGAATATTTGTCGATAATATTCACATCTTTTATCTTAGGCATTGATACACGCAACACAGATGCTCCTCTTCGTATTGCATGTAGTACCTGTAATCATAATATTCTTTTTTTGTAAAAATATATTTTTATTTTATACTTTCATATTTTATATATTTTTATTTAATTTTTATTTATATTTTTGTTTAATAGCATAATGAAATTGATCGAAATAAAACAATTTTTTATTTTAAACTTAATATTAGATATTAAAATAAAAATAAAAATAATCATAAAAATAAATATTAAAATTCATATTTGTCATAAATATCATAATAAACAATTTCTTGAAATATATGATATAAAATATATTCATATTTTTGACTTTGAATCTAAACACAACACAAACTATTTGAATTATTTGAAATTGATAGAAAATTTAATTCTACAAACCAAAATAAAAAGAAAATATGAATAAAAAATAAAAATATTATATAATTTAAGGTTTCACTTTTTAGTTACTGATGATAAAATCGATCAAAAATTCTTAATGTCTATTAAACTTTTTGCATAAGAATGCAAAACAAATTGAATAATTAGGAATAGAATGATCTTCAACACATGATGAACTTAAAAATGATAAAAAAAACATGGAGAATCATTAAAGTTTCCATTGCTTATATTATCTTACATTCGATGATGTAAAAATGTTTGCGGAGCTTCAGGGATATTTTCGTCGACTTTTAATTGTGAATAAAAGAAAATCTTAAATGCAACTTTTTTATTCTAAATTTTTATTTTAATTTATAAAAGCACTTTTTAAGATACATTAAATCAAATGAATATTCATTACTTATTTTAATATCAAGCAAAATATAACTGAAATTTTCTTTTATTCTTTTATTAAAAAAAAAGAATAAATATTTTTTTCTTAATCATATTTGTATTATTTTTAACGCTCCCTTAAATTTTTTATTAATTTCTATTAATTTCAAAAGTTTATAATAAAGTTTAAATTAAATATTATACGATAATTTCAATATAGATTAGAATTATTTTAAGTTTTTTTTTATTTCTAAAAATGTATTATGGGAATACTGTATAAAAAAATGTAATAATCACATAATCTGTATCTCTATTAGAGTAATCATTAATTAAATATATGTGCCCAGTTGATGTAACTTTAAAATTCATTTAGTTAAAAAAAAAAAATTGTTTACAAAGGACATTCTATTTTATTTTTAAAATTGAATTAAATTTTTTTATGTTTTTAGTTTTGTAGGCATATATCTCTTCTCATTTTACCAATAAATTGTACATTTTTCTAGAAAATTCATCTATGAGATAAGAATTATTCATTACAATTATCTAGATTAAAATTCATATTGAATAACTTTAATATATTAAATAATATAAAAAATATTTCTTATTGTAATATAATTTTATAAAAAACGAAAAAATCGTTTATAAATTTATTTTTCTTATTTTATTAAATTTACTTATTTTATAAAGTTAAATAACAAATAAAATTTGTATGCTATATTTTAAAAACGTCTTACATTTATAACGAATATTCTAATAAGAAAATATTAAAAAGAGATGTATGGAAATATTAAAACCAATTAAAATTTAACATTTACGAAACAAAAAAAAAAAAATATTGGAAAGTAAAATTGTTGTTGAATTTTACCTTGGGCTTATTTTGTTTAGGTCCTCTGTATCTGAGACCAGCGTTTCTCCCATAAGTATTGTAGGCCGCGACTCTGGAAATTCGAAAACTAGGGGGAAACTTGGCCGGATCATGTTCTCTTCCGGTTCCAGGCGTCGAACTGCCACTAACCAGACCTGATCTGTTTCTTATACTTGGTAACGGAGACATCCTCAGATCTTGAAGCTCTATTATATCCGCTTCCGTTGAACCAGGAAAAGGAGAATTCGCTTTGCTTCCTATAAAATTTTTTTCCTACACTTTCTATTTTCTTTCTTTTAGTCTTTTATACATATTGACATGCATTGTTTCAATTATTTTTAAAAAATATAAATTTGTTTTCGATATAATTCAAAATATAATGTTTCGTTTTGTTCCACGAAAAAAAACATGTTTTACATCACGATTTGTTGTGAAACGAAACATATTATCATCTTTTGTAGCGAGAAAAAGAATATATTTTGAAAGATTGTCTACAATGACATCAATATATTTTCATGGTTATTAAATGAAATCGAAATATTTTCATCACAACATCATAACAGAATGATCGAATAGATTTTTTTTCATGACAAAACAATTATTCGTGAGAAATTTTTTAGAATTATTTTAGATTTCTTCAAAGATCTGTTCCTAGATAAAATATATTGCTTTTTTTGAATAATTGAAATATCTTTTATCATATATATGAAAAACTTTTATTTTATACATAGAAATTTGAATAATCATCAACAACAATTATCAGAATTTTTATATATTTAAAATGCAAGCATAAACGATTATATTTATATTTTATAATAGTAATTCAATTATTATTTTTTATAAAATGGATGTTAAAAAGATAAAAATTATCTATATATTACTTGATTATAACATTTTAACAAATGCTTATTATATACATAATATACAAAACACATTGAATTGGCTAAAATATTTTTTTTTGCTTTTTTCTTTTTTAAATATACATTTTTACAAATAATTTCCAACATTCAATTTAGATATTTTAGATACATATCTACGATAACTCTCAATTCATTAAAGCGAATTATTATTCATTTGAATAATAAAAGAATATCTTACCAGACTTCGAGGAAATCACTTTTTTATCATCAGATTCTTTCTTTTTCGACTTCTTTTTAGCTCTGGCACCCCAATAAGTGTAATTGACCGCTGCATATTCCAAGAGAGCAGCGAACACGAAAACGAAACACATTACTAAGTAAATGTCGATAGCTTTCACGTAGCTGATACGTGGCAGTGAGCTACGGACACCTGTTGAAATTGTGGTCATTGTAAGGACTGTTGTTATACCTACAAAGAGAAGAAAATCGTACAACAATTCATGAATTGTATATTTATTATACGGTCTTAATTTATTATAAACAAAGGAAAAATTTTAAAAAATATGTTTAAGCATTATCTTATCAATTGTGATTTACATTAATAAATATTATCATATATAAATTGATATCTATTATACTAATTATTAAGTTTAAAATTTAATTCTTTTTAAAATAAAGATACTATTTATTTAAAAATGATACAATGTAACTTAAATTCTGAAATATTAGTGATTATTAATTTTGTTCCACCTCTTTTTGAATTCTTTGACAAAGAAAGATGACGATTTCAATGTAATAAAATCATCGATGCTTCTTTGCATCTCTTTACATATTTGAAAATTTGTCAAATTATTTGAATGAATGATAATCAAATCAAAACAAATATATTAACATATCTTATATATTACTCTTTGAATTTGAATTTCCAAATCAATCTGCCTTTGATTTTCAATTATGTTACATGTCACGCATATATTTTGCATATATTTGCACAATCATCTCTACTTCATTATAAATTTTTTTATATTTAATAATTGATAATCAATCATAAAAATAAATTTTATCTCAACTGTTTTTCTAGTATATTCTGAATTTTTTTTTATCGTTTTTTTTTTATGTGAAGAATAAAATCTAAATCCTTCAAAGATATCTTATATTTTTATTATACTATTCTCTTTATATTTTGTTAAATGAAATGTCACAATTATTTAAATTATATATAAATCAGATATACATGGTTTAATGCGAATCAGAGAGATCTAATTAAACACGTACAATAATAGGTGATAAAATAATTGCATGTGTTTACCGAGTGCTACTCTGGCGCTGGTTGCTTCATGATTTATCCAAAAACTGACCCAACTTAACATTACGATCAAGATACTAGGTAAATAAGTCTGGAAAACGAAGTATCCGATGTTCCTTTGAAGTTTGAAGCTCAATGATAATCTCTGGTATATGCCAGTGGCCAGCTTCTCTTTACGATCATTCGTTTCGTAACCGATTATCGTGAATTGTGGCAATTCCGCTTCCTCGACACCACGGACTGGAGTCTCTTTCCAATACATTACCACGTCCAACACTGTGTATCCGTCTAATAAAAAATATTTTAAACTTATAAAATATTTCTGTTTATCAAGATACTTCTTATAATATAAATTCTGTTCTATTAATTAATAATTTTGTGAAAATATAAAAGAAGAAAAAACAATTTCTAATTCTAGATACTATGTTCAAATCTTGATTTCAACTTTTTTTAGAAAAGAAAATATTAAAAAATATTAAAATTCAAGACATTGATACTATGAAGCAATGATTCTTAAATTTTATGAAGATTTTTTTTTTTTATATGACATGTATTTCCTAACTTTTTTAAATTTTCTAAAATATTTATTGCTGATAGAAGAGATGTTAATACACTACACTATAATAATTGAAAGAATAATTGGAATTGCATAATATTTTTATTATATTGTTTATAATAGAATTAAAAAGCAAATCAAATTTTAATTAAAATTTCAAATTTTAATTTTAGAATTTCATTATTACTTTTTGGATTGCTAGAATCTTCAGTTTAAAAATTGATATCTTTCATATCTTTTATCGAATGAGATAAAAAGCACTTGATTAATATAGAGTTTAGAATTGAATTTTTCGAAGCCTAAACTAAACTATAAATATTTGTTTAGATTTAAATTTGTCAAATCAATAAATACAATATTAAAATTTATAAATCATAAATATATGTTTAACTTATTTTTTCATTGTATATGATATTCTTTAATATATGTTTTTTCGTAATCCAAATGCATTGAATTAAAATTATTATAAATATATTATACAATATATTATATAATATATTATATATTTTAAAATTATTGATTTTAAAATCTACATTGATTAAGCATTTTTTATTCATCTTAATAAATTTTGAACTTATTCTTTCTTGTATAGAACAATAAGCAAGTAACAACGATAGAATATATTTATCATCATAATTTTTAAAGAAATTTTAAGACGAAATGAAATATAAAGAAAAAAATTGTATTTTATTATTTGATTTTTAATAGAAAAATTGCCTTTTATATTTAAACTATTAAAATTTGAATTTGAAATGTTGTAAAACATTTAAAAATTATTTTCATTAAAATTAGAGCAAATTTTTATTTATTAGTATAATTTTCAACAAATAATATTTTTTATTACATCAAAAAAATAATATTCGATGAAAATATTTGAAATTAGATTAAAGAAAATTAATATGTTAATTAACAACATAAAAAAAAATAATATAACTTATATAATAATATAAATTATAAAGATATAAAAAAGAATACAAAAAAAGTACGCTTGAGAAAAAACAAAAAAATCAAAAGTTTAAAATTTTCTTGTGACACTTCCAAAAATTATCTTCCATATACAAAAATATTCGTAAAAGCAAATTTTTTTTCATTTTATTAGAAAAATAATCGAAATTTCATCTTTCTATATTCAAAAAAAATGTAACTAAAATACCGCCTATCACTCTGATAGACGTTCCAGATGATGAGAATTTGAAGAAGAGAAAAGCGAAAAGGATCGATAGAAGGGGAAAAAGAGGTACGATAAGTAAGATTGATCGTACAGCTCTCGATTTCTACGGTGCAGTTCTGCGAATCGAGCGGATAGTAGTGCAGATCCATCATGCAGGCCAGGGTCGTCGTGAATCTCATGCCATAAGTGACAGATCCGTCTCCGGACAACCGAACGAGTTTATTACGCTCGGTCACATCGTGTAAGAAACTGCGAACAAATCGAAAATATTTCCTTATTCTATTCCGCCACTTATTCTAATTTATTATCGGATTATTTCAGATATTCAATAACAAATTTAAAATATAAAAATTGGTGATTTGGATATATGAAAATATTTTAAGAAAATATATCAAATATGCAAATATGCAGGAAATCCTTATTATTTATCTTTTTTGTCTTGTTAAAATCCTCTATAAATGGATATATATTTTGCGGGAATTTTTTTATGTTAAATGTTGTTTAAATTGTTGCTCAGATTAAAAGATACATTTGTAATGTTGAAGAATATATTTATTGATAGAGTATTGTTCGATATATAAATCTTAGTATAGTTTTAAAAATTTTATGTTAATATTTTTTAAATTAAAATTATATTATAATTATATATATATATATATTTTTTATATGTTTTTAAAGTAAAAGATTAAAAATTTTATAAAAATTCGTGAAAAAATAATCTTACAATCTCAGATTTTTACAAATTTTTGAACTTGGATTATGAAAGATATACAAATTTTTATATGATATATATAAAACATAATATATATTCTATTAGATAGAACTTTATATTATAATTAATTCATAAATAATAATTGAATAAATTTTCAAATAAATGAGAAATTCCAGAAATATTTTTTTAAGGATTATAGTGCTAATGCAATATTACATTTGTAATTTTTTTTCAATTACATACATTTTTTTCAACTCAATACATATAATTGTACTATATTTTTTAATACATTATAAGCTATTCAAGAATTTGTTTATTATTATTTTTCATAAAAATAAAATCAATAAAATATTCAAATCTTCAAATCAATAGAATATTTTTCAAATCAATATTCAATAGAAATATATTTATTCATGCAAAAAATGTAGAAAAATCTATCATTTAACACTAAAAATATTTTAAAAGTTTAAAATTATATAAAAGCAAAATTGAATTTATTAAAAAAAAATACACTATTCAAAAAATTCTTTTAATAGTATTTATATTTATCTTTACATGTTTATCTTATAAATAATATATAATTATATGTATAAAAATTACATATCACTTTTTGTTTTTTAATAAATTAATAAAAAGATAGTCTTTATTTGTTTTAAATATGGTGATTTTCATTATAACTATTTGTCGATTTACAAGAATTTTAATATTTCTTAATAATAAGATTAATAACATTCAATTTATTATTAATCACCAATTTATATATTATGATATTATAAAAGAACTTTCCAGATTTGATAGATTATTTTTTTTCAAAATTAATTTAATTAATTGATTAATTAATTTTAACAATTTTCATTAAAATTGTTAAAATCTCTGAAAACTTCTAAGTTTCGATCATATTAACAATATGAAAAAGGTTTATAAAAATCATTGAAATTCTTTTTTATAACGTTTGATTTATTCACGATTTTTTTAAATGAGAAATATAGATTTTAAAAGATTATTTCGACATACCTATTTTTGTCATTGGCAAAAAAAGTATCTGGAACCCAAATCTTTTCCGCAAAATCTCCACTAAGAGTGAGAACTTCTTCTTCTTGAGAAAATGCCAATCTTTCGTCCTTCCAATATTGATTTAAATACATTGTTATTGTATAATCCTGTAATAAAAAAAAATAATATCCATCTTATGAATTTTTAATTGGATTAAAAATTGGTGGATGTTGGACTTGAAAAATCCATAAGTTTAAAAAGGCTTTTAAGCTTAAAATAAAATAGAATTTTTATTATTTAAATACCTTAACATTCGAATTTTTCATTATTCCATTGTATACCATTTTTATTCATAATAATATAAATAGCAATTTTTTTTCTATAATATGGGAATAAAATAATGGGAATAAAATTTAATTTACGTGAAAAATTGACGTGAAACATGTTTATATAATATATATAAAATAATGTAAAAACACAAATATATATTTATTATTGAAACGAAATCGTAAATATATAAATTAAAAAGCAGTAAGAATACAATAGAATTAACAAAACTATATAATATTTGGAAATCTGTAATTAATGATTTTAAAAAATAGAAGGATAAAATGGAAATTTATTATATATTAAAAAATTTGTGTAATTTTTGATAGTTTTAAAAAAATATATGATCTCTAATTTTATAACATGATCCATTCTTTATATCATTTTATATTTTATTTTTGTTGTAAATAAAAAAATTATTTTCCTAAATATAATTATTCTAAGAAAATTTTATGTTTCATTATTTGAAAATTTCTCTTATCCGAACGATTCTCATTAATAGGATAACAAAGAGATTTCTATTATATTAGAATTTTTTGTAAGTGAAATCTTTTTCTTATTTGAGGAAAAAGAATCAAATCATGCTTTCTTATTAAATAGTAATAAACAAAATTTGTTGCTTATTGAAAATAACAAATTGATATTGCAAGAATAATCGATTTATAAAAAAAAAAAAGAAATCGAAATGATTTATTTAATTTTTGAAAATTTTGCTTATTTTTGTGCACTAAGTACATTGTTTTATTTTAATTTATTTTATTTATATACATATATTTTATTTTATTTCAAATTATATTTTTATTATTATTATATTTTAAAAAATAAATAATACTAATTAAATCTTATATTTTTTATATATCATTTTTTTCCTTTAAGATCTATTAATGTTTTTATCAATAATTTTATTAGTAGTTTGACAAAATAAATGCAAAACAGTATTAAATGAATAAGAATATATTTAAAAAAAATTATAAGAATACATTAGAAATTATAATATTAATAATATTTTATATAATATTTAATTTAATATTATTAATTAATAAAATGGATTTACCATGTTTACTTCTGAGATTGCATCGAAACTCGCGATAGTAAGATCCATCCCAACTAACAAGGGTTCTCCTGGAAACGAAATATCTGTATAAAAATATCAATAAAACATTATCAAAAAAAAAAAAAAAAGAAAATAAAAAAAAATGATCAATAAATATAATTTATTTTCATATTGTTTTTAGGTTAAGTAATATTGATGAGGATTAAGAGAATTACTTATTAGTTTCTTGTTAAGCGGATTAATTTGAATTTCAGTGTAATCAGCGACCTGTAAAAAATTTGTAATTTGCCCAATAAATTTTTCGATTTCAATTCATCAATTAAATAACATTTTTGGTGACAATAATTCGTTTTAAGTTATTAATATAAAATAAAATAAAGAAAAATAAATTTCATAAATTATTCAGAAATGTAATATAATATGTAATTATTAATAAAATTATTAATAAAATTATTCCGAAAATTCTTTTTAATACTATTATATTTTATTTATAATTTGTAAATTTATAAATTTTGCATATATATATATATATATCTATATGTTTTACACACATTATTATATGTTTATCTTGCGAAAAAATTAAATCTATTCGATTTAACGATTCATTATTATTGTTCACATGGCATATTTTTATTTTATATTTGTGTATGTTCAGAATAAAAATCAATAAAAATCACAAGAATATTTTGTTCTTGAATACGAAGAAGTTAAAATTATTAAACATATTATGTATTTTTTTGTATCATATAGTATATAGAATATATTATTTAATATTGATACAATTTGAAAAATAATTTCATTTCGAATAAATATATTCATATTATGTTAATAATAAATTTATGTTAAAAAAACAAATTTTTTTTAAAGATTTGAGTTTTTCTTAAAAATTGAAAAAAAAAACAAAACATAACATAACACAAACATAAACGTTAAAAAAAAATGTTAAAATTGCTTAATATAATAAATAATATAATAAAAAGTAATAAAAAGTAGTTTTGCTGTTAATAACAAAATATTTTTTAATATGTTAAACTATTTAAAATATGTTACTTACGAAAAGAAATATCGAATCAAATAAACATTTATAAAAAATTGTTTTTATAAATGATTTTTCATCTTCCATTTATAAAAAATTAAAACATTTTTACAACATAAAAATTTACTTCTTTTTTTTACTTTTTTGAATATTTAAACATCTTTACTA